TGCGTTTTCATTTATACAGGATGTTTCTCAATCGTATTTTGTGTTTTGTCAACGTTTCGCAGATTTCTAAACATTTCTTTTTTTTCAAATTTTAAGCTCTTAGGAAATAACGTCCAAAGTATTATATTAACTCATCTTTTCTTGTTCTGTTCTCTAGAGAGAAGAAAAGTTATTGTATAAAAAGTATTGGCAGCAATTAAGAAATATCTTGTGTATTGGTATATGATATAGAAAGCAAGTCGTAGAACAAGTGCGTGTAATCTATTGGCAAATAAATCAAGTTGAACGCTCTTTATATGTCTATTATAAAATAACTGCTATACAAAAATAATATAATATCATGCAAATAGAATTAGTTATGAGTTTAATTACGAATTGCTAAATGAAAAAAAAATAGAAGGAGATAAAGAGAGATTGAGGTAGAACATGGTACACAAATGACTCACGCATGCGGAAATCTGCTGGGAGATAAAACAAGTTAAATGCTATGTGTTCTGCGTTTATTGAAGCATGATTAGGACGACTAGCGTTATTACGATATGTATGAAAACATAAATGATTAATTACATTGATAAACAAGTACTATCGGAGTATTATCAGAGATTTGAGCGACTGCGCACAACAAAATCTGCTAAAGAATAAATCAAATTGTAGCTTATGCGCTTTGCGTAAAACGATTTTTTATGTAATAGTAAAAAAATATTGAATTGATTAACCGTTTCTCTCCGTTTGATATAAATATATCTGGAAAACAATTCTGTGCCGCGAATAAAAAGTTATTTGTGGCTCTGACAGAGAGGATAATATACTCGTAAAAAACATTTTTTTTTAATTCTCAAGATAACGGAAGACGCTTCTAAAATTTGACAACTTATTTCAGAGACAGCCTGCATATATGTTGTATCTTTATGAAATGCAAATAATTTTAATCGATAGAATTAAAACGTTAGGAATAAAGCCATTATTATTGACATAAGTAATTACGACTTGGTTTAGCAACGTGCAAACTGTACTTAAAAAGAACTCGAGCGCTGCTCACGTTGCAAAAGTATGAGTAATACATGTAAGAGTCATCATGAATGACAGTACATAGAATATAAATAAATTCTTATTTACGGCACGAATCTCGAATCTTTTGTTCATGTTTCGAGTCACTCTCTTAATCGGGATGTATATCAATTGGACACTATACTTATTGGGCAGTTGATAATAAGGCCCTTTGATTGGTCGATCGTGCTGGTATCCTTAGGCACCGGTCGATATAAGTGGTTGCGTTCAATTGCATTGTGTTCAAATGAACCTTTCCTTCTTAATCGCACGGACAAAAAATTAAAGATATTTGTAACATGAAAATATCCGAAAAGTGCAAGAAAACAAGGAGTAACGAAGTATATACACATAACTTATACCAAGTTGTACTCATTGTCTTTATCTTTCCATAACTTCTTTATGCATGACAAACGCGTGACATATCGTAAGAGGGAATGAAATGCGGTAGCAACGCGAAACGTGACATTAAATGCAGGAGCGATTTAAGGATTTATTCGTGCGTAAATCCAGGCGCACGTGCGCGTCTGGCCATCGGGTGCGCGAACGCGATTCGTTCGAAAGTAGAAGCTCTAGGTTTTATCACACGCAGGGTTACACACATTATCACCAGACATTTTATCATAACGGTGCGTAACGCAGTGTGTCGCGAAAAAATGTGCTCGTGAAAGCCGGCGGAAACACGAATAGTGAAATTTAAAGAAACTAAAAAAAAATCAGACGAATTAATAACCGCGTGTATGAATGGAGTCTTGGAAAACGCGAATGTTTTATCCATTTATTTCTTTTCCATATATGAAAACTGTGTTGAGGTAAAAAAGAATATTTATCTATTTTATTACCCCATCTGATTTTTTTAGTGTAAATTAAAAAGACCATAAAATTGAATGAAGAATTTTAAGAATAATGATGACAGATGCGCATGCGCAATAAAAGCGTATATATTTCCACTTTAATATCTTTTATCGTTTTAAAAAAATTATGAAATTTGCAGCTCACATAATTTTAAACTTTCTTTCTCTTGCAAAATTAATTTCTCTTGACATTGGTATAATAACATAATAATTTTTATCAAATGTATATAAAATTTTTCCCTTTATTTTTTCTCCGTGATTTATATTTATAAAGATAATTTAAAAGGCTATCTGTATGTCAAACATTTTTTTTTTCTGAAAATCTTTAATTTTGGTATATTAAATTTTATAAAGATATGATTCTTATTTACTCTTTCATGCTCTCGATAAAACATTTAAGACGCTGGTAAATTCATGATAGATACGCAAAAATAAAATAACTATAGAATTTTTAGTCGCAGACAAATAAATGACTCAGATACGCACATTCCCTGAACGCACATACGTATTATAGTGCTCGTGTGATGGAAAATATTTTGAACTTGTATATTGTGTGCATAATGCACTATAATAATTCTTTCCCTTCCATCTTCCATTATCACATATATACAGGTAAACGACAATCTTAGATGATCCGAATTATTATCGGTGAGCACATAGGCATATTTCAGTGAGGTTCCATCAGTTTACAATTTATATATATGTCGTGAATATATATATCTAATAATATGATATCTATTATAAAAAATCGTTGAAAATGTGTGAACAATAAACATATATTCCAATATATACTATATGCATATATCCTGAAAAGTTTAATAAAAAAAAGATTATTCAAACATAAAAAATATTACTTAAAAGAAAATAAATATAAAAATTAAGAACTAGAAATTAATACAAAATATTAAAAATTAATACAAATAAAAATTTTAAAAATTTTAAATAAAATTCTTTATATGTGGCTCACTCTATATATGAAGATATATCCTGAAATCTTGCTAGTGCAATTAGAATTGGTTGCATCAATTTAAAGCCAAAGTTTTAGTTTACAATTGAGTAAATTCTTCGTCTTTGTTTATCTGCAAAGCAGCAGCGCATCAGTCGGTACAACCAGAATTGCATGTAATTCAATTAGTCGCTTGGAGTTATTAGTACGCTGCTACATTTTTTATTATATCTCAATCGCTAAACCAGAAAATAATATTCTTATGTGGTTTACCTTAATATTAAATAATTTCATTTCATTGTGATTTATAGCTAAGGAAAAAATATCACATCTTTGTTTTACTCAGAATTCTTCATTTATTATAATTAAGATATAATCGAAATAAATGCAATCTAAAAAAGATAAGGGTTAAATTAATAATTTATAATTTATAATGCAATGGGGGGGGGGGGTTATTTAGTACAGAACGCTAAAAAGCCGGTATTTTGTAGTTGCAACACTATACGGCTCCATACTGAAACTTGAAACTTCAATAACAACCTTTGCTACCTAATCGATTCTGACGCATCGAGTTGCATCCAAGTGCCTCAAACGCAATACGTGACGCACTAGAATCCATAGTGCAGCGATTTAGTTCCTCACTCAGAAGAATATAATATACAAGCGTAATAAATAGCAAGACATATAATTTTATAAGTCGCCTAATTATCTATTAAATTCTTTATGGTACTTCGTTTTAATCTAATCTCACAAATTTAATCAAACTAAACAAATAAAATATAGATTCTTCTGAGACAATTTTGAAAGTTTTGGCTTAACCATTTTAAAACCAAAATATCAAGAATACAACTATCGATTATTCGGATCTTAATCGCGGTAAAGCGGGCTTATATAGTGTATATAGTCAATTGAATATCTTCTGTTATTTTTCATAGTTCAGTTGAATTGGAACACGCTCCACATATTTAACTCAAGGTTACAGCTGTATATTTCGACTTGATCTCAACTTACTTGTCTTCGTAGGCAACCCGATATACCTCTCTGCAAAACTGACGATCATCCATTTCAATTGAACAAATTCTATTTTTCACGAATATACGGTAACGTTATGACCTTTAGTCTAAAAAATTCCTGTTTTTAGCGCTATCCAGAATTTTTTCTTTTTTATATTTTTATATTTTTTATATTTTTAAATTTTTATATATATTTTTTAATTTTAATTTTTTTTTTGTATTTGTTTTGATATTGTGTGTGTGTATGTGTGTATGTGTATCAAGGGTTAGAATACGAGGGCTGTATAAGAAGTACCCGTGTTAGGGAAGGAAACGCATTTTTTTAAAAAATTTTTTTTATCTGTTTCTCAACATAGTCTCCTTTCAGCTCGATACACTTAGTCCAGCGATATTCCAACTTTTTTAAGCCATCCAAAAAATATGATTTGTCGAACTCTGCGCTCTTCATCAAAAACGGATGTTCAGTCACGCTTGAATTCATTGAACCAATATCTGATGGTAGTCATCGAAGGTGCATGGTCCTTATAAACGGCATGCAACTTCACTTTGATTTCCTCACACGTTTTCCCATCCAAAAAAAGGAATCGAATCACTGACCGATATTGCTCTTTTTCCATGGTTGCAAACAAACACAAACTTGCCCACTTTCAACAGCTATCAAAACAAAACTACTCGATAAAACTGTCTGAAATTTTGACACGCGTCGTTCGAAAGATGGCGTTAAACGATGGTATACAGATTTTGAGTCAGTGGCGCTATCAGTCGTTAAACACGGGTACTTATCATACAGCCCTCGTATATTTTAGATCTTATTTTTTAATAATACATTTTGTAAAAATGAAATAAAAAAGGCAATTTAAAAATTATGTTTTCTGGCTCGCCGCCACATGGTTAAACAGGATTCTACAAGCGAGCGGCATTGAGCCAAGTAAGGGCAGTCATCGCAGACCAAACGGTCAGTTCTCACATAGTTTTGGACACTTCAAAAATTATCGGCGTCTATAAAAAAATTATTTGCGCCCTACGCTAAAGCGTACATTGCGTACTAGCTAGTAACGGCACTGCGAATATATCATAATTTCTGTCACATCACACAAATACTCAGAAACGAAGAAGAGAGAAATATTCTCTAGGAAGAGATTGTGTGTAATGTAAAATTATATTTAGTTAATTACATTATCCAAAATAATAATTAGTTTACAAATACTATATAAATACTCATAATTATACACGTAAGATTTTTAATATAATATAAGACTAAATTGCGCATCACGTCACAGAAAAAGATACGCATGCATATGCGCTAAATACGCATTTATATACATAGATATATATCGACACGTGAGATTAATAGAGTATTTATGTTAAATACGCAGGTAATATCTTTTTTTTTTAAATCTTTAAAATTTGTCTCACTTAATATTTACATTCTCCGATACGATGATATTCTTTATTCTTTCATTTATATCTGGTTCGTTATGGTCGCTTATACGAAGATACGAAGTTTGTTGTAAAATATTGTATCCGATGTCCTGTTGTGGCGTGTTCGCGTTACAATCTGTTTCATTTTCATCGCTGATATCTAAATTGCTCAACTTACGTATCATGCCGGGTCTGATATGTATAGAAACTTCGGATATGTTTTCTTGTACCGGACTTCTATAATTATGATCGTAAATTGATACGGTTGACATGCCTTTGATATAATCTATATCAATATCTGGATTCGCTGTAATTTTTAATGTGTTGAGATTAACCGTAGCGATGGCCTCCAAAGTAGCCTGCATTTTGTCTCGTTCCCATCTCCATCGTATATGTTTCTCAATTTCGCGACCTAGTAGAATCAATTTTTTTCTCCTCGAAAGGCGCTTAATTTTTATCAACGGTCTTAATATTCTCTTCATTTTTCCCATTATACACCAAGCAGTTTTCTATCGATCATTTAGCGACTAATCAGCGCGCTTCTTTTCAAAATGTCAATTTTAAAATTATACATTTCTTAGTATTTAATTCATTAAAATATATCCTGGAAGCATAAATATAGTGTTACATTAATCAATTAATTATACAGCATGTGTATCTAACTCGATTATTAAGATTGTAATTATCCAGTCTGTTATTAGTTTTGCAGCGATGAAGAGAATGTAACTTTCCAAATCCAATTTTTATATTGTGCATTTATATTTAATATAATAATTTAATTTCACATTTAATTATATTCAAATGCAACGATCACTATATTTATAAACTTTATATTTTTTAATTGTTAAACATTTTTAGAATCGGCTATTTAAACCGTCAAATAAAATGCGTAGAATGGGTGCGTTCAGGAGACACAATTGTTGCATAACTGTTGAGTAGCCATTGAATGTGATTGGTTCTTACTTCTAGAACCAACAAATCAATGTCGAGTGTTGACAAGACGATGCTCAACGGTTGTGCAACGATTGTGTCTCCTGAACGTATCTAATAGTTATCGTTCTGCTATCGCCACCTATAGTAACTGGAAGTATTATAACCTGGTATAGCGTCTATATACATCATCAGTACACAATATCATAACGTACATACCTGTTAAAATATCTGTCTTTTAGAATGCTGTGTTCAGAATGCAGTACATTGGATCTTATTCTAATGTCTGGATATTATAATAGATGTAACATTTTGCTTAGACTAATGTTATGGAACGAAATCACGCAATACTTGTTGTGATCTACTGCAGCCACCGAGACTGACTGCTAACTGTTGGAAAGTGTATATCCTGCCATCTAGCTGTATTTTGTTAAGATATTCTGTTAAAAGAAGACTTGTGTGATACAAATTCAATTATCTATCATTTTGATACTGCAAAATATATATATTTTGATGTTTGTATCAATTTAAAAATACACTTATCGTTATAAATCGTAAGCGTCACAAGTATCAATAATATTTGCTTTAAATAATTTATATAAAGTTGTAAAAAAATCAAAATCAATCGAAAGTTACATAAAAAAAAATGTAAAAAAAGGTTCATTAAGAAACGGTGAGGAATTATAATATAAAAAAATAGTATAATAAACATTATAGTATAATAAAATAGAATTAATCAAGAATTATTTTATTATTAAAGATATTTTCGAGAATATTTTTCTCTTGCTGGTTTCCGTTCTGGAATATTATTCTAAGAAAAAGATTATATTTATTAATATTTAAACATTAAAATGGATAAAATATCGATATGATTACAATGCGTAAAAAATTTTATAAAGATTATTAATTCTAATTAATTTCCGGATAGCTGATTGATTATGTTGAATTATTAGGGAGAGAGAAAGAGAAGCAGACATTTATACAACAGTTTTTAGTTATGTAGAACCTGAGATGCGAATTTCACGACAACCACAATATAATTCGAGTATTCATTTTAAATGAGCGCAATTATGCTCGGTCTCGCTTCCCGACAATGTGAAAGTTTAACAGACATCTAACAGACGTCCTAATCTTTCAGACGTTCTTTTATAGACATCTCAGACATTCTGAAGATTTCCTTTAGACATTTACGTCGTCTGAGTTAAAATATTTCCAGATCGATAATATGTATTTCGAAGTAAAAGTAAATTTAAAAAAATTGAAATCGAAATCATGTGTTTCATTATTCAATCCAAAACGATTATCGTTCATAAACTTATATAGTAATTTTTCCTGTATTTCAAATACTCAAGGCAATTAAATATAATTATAGTTAACAAGCTACTTTGTTTAAACATTCAAGAATTCTGAAAATCTTTGATAATATTCTGATAATAAAAATTGACTATCGCGTTCAAGATATTTAAGAATAACCCATGTGCTAAAATTAGTCCATGTGTATATATCACGATGGGTTAATCTATAAATCTAAAAACGTTGAATAAGGTACATATACGTAACAGTAGAGGAAGCGCTTCCGCGCTTCGTCCGCATCGGGCGGAAAGAACCTGCGCACGTGCACCGAGCGCGACCGACCTGACCTGACTGGAAGCGAAGAGATGATCAATAACTTCTAGGATATATAAGGCTCCGTTCCGGTAGAGTGTAGCATCTCTTTGAGTTTACGTGATCGGTTTATCGCGCACCAACGGACTTCTTGGCCCACCATCGCGTTGTCGGCCGACTGCGTGTCAAATTGGTCTGTACGTCAGATACCATCAGAGAGGTATTACATCCACTGGGTATATATAAGTGCTTAGTGTGTAAGACACGCACACCGATAAATTATACAAGATTTATCGATCATAGTAATGTAAGGTCTCCTCCGTTCCGTTACGAACGATCTCAGCAGCTTAGAAGAAAAAAAAATCAAGCAGATACGACGATATTTACTAAAGTGACGCATTTCGCGATAACAGTGAGATAAAATAAGCGAGAGATGCGAGCTTCAATTTTCCATCGATGGATCTTATTAACGTTGAGAAGCACGTGCACGATGTCTGTCACGACAAGTACGGGGTAAATATTATTAATTGTCCGTCTCTATACGTTTATAAATTTAAATTGATTTCTAAAGGCATATTTACGTAATCAATTACAAGACTCAATTAGAAGATCTTACTAGCTCGCATTATTTTGCCTCGTGAAATATTATAAGATATTTTAATTCGATTGCATTACGAAATTTTCCAAGAAAGCGATCGATAAATTAAGAGTTAATTACGTTGTATGATATAATAGTAATATAAATATTACTTATAAATATTACGTTACTAAGATATTATCACAATGCAAATACAGTCTTGCTGATATCGTTCGCGAGCGGTTAACGTTAAGCTGTGTCAGAAATATGAGCATTCTTACGAGGCTTTGCGCACATTTTCACGAGCAATTGATTGACAATAAAGCAATAATTGCGACGTATAGTCCTTCTGTTTTCGCAACTGTATTATTTTCCACACGTCTACTAAATATGCGTGTGGCATGGTGTAGGCCTCCTGGGGATTCCCGCCATGTAAAAAAACGGGAACGCGTCCGGGCATGGTACCTCCTGGGTGACGAGGAAAGCCATGCCGCTCTTTGTGTTTCTGGTAATTACCAGGATTCGCGTTCATAAGGAAATTTGTGCTTAATTCTTTCTCATTCGTGATTCCTCAGCCCGCTCACGTCGCTCAAGTGCAACTTACGCACGATGACGAGCCGAGAAAGTCAGCACGATTTTAAGCAACGTCAATTAATTTGATATTCGCGAACAAACTTCCTTCTCGCATTAATTCGCAAGTATTGTTTCGTAATACGTTAGCGAGGAATGCTACGCGAGTAGCGTTCCAGCAATTTGGGCGCGGCTCTGCGCTAATCGACTGTAAATAAGCTCTAAACAACCGTTTTTCCGCGAAATAATTACGTTATTCACATCGCAAGTGCACTCGCGTTTACGTTATCATAATTTCCGATCGTCGTCATTAATGTACATATATAATTCGTATTTTTTTTTAATTAAGATCATATCCACGCTTCATATTATTTTTTTTCTTCTTTTTTTACCGCAAAACGGTAGATGCGCGTATGTAACGTAACGGGGCACGCCGGTAAATCGAGTTTCGCCCGAGACTCGGTACACGACAGAAAATCTCACTTTAATGAGTGAAACCTGTATCTATTAAACGCCCGTCTGTTCGACCTGTTACCACGGTGAGGCTGACGCGAAGATGCCGAACGATTAAATTCACCGAGGGAGAGAAGCGTTTTATCGTTATATTGTGCGCGCAAGTTTTGCAATGTACCATTGTTCGCGGGAAGAATCGCAATCAGACGCGGAGGCGGCTATCCCGACGCGCAGCGACCGAAGAAAAAAAAGAAAAGCGGTATAAGCACGTGAGCATTTTTTCGCGCCTACTTACCCACTTACACCGCCATTCTCTCTCCTTTACAGCCCCCATATTCTTCGAAAATAATCGCCTAATACCCTTCGCCCGTCCGAACCTCTAAAAGACGCACGGTCATCGCGCGCCGTCCCATTTCGTTACCCTGTTTCCGCGTCGGTAATAATCTCCCCCTCGCTCTCGCTACTCACGATGATTGTGAAGAAATTATATTCGCACAACGTGGCGACCTCGAATGAAAATGACAACAGTCGTCGTGAGGAGGCGAGAAGGACGGGGGCGAGTCCGATGATCCTGATCGAAAAAGATATCGACGATGCAGTCGAGCGAACAAAGCCAGGATCGCGAAGGGTCTTCGTTTTCAATTTTTTTTTATACCGACGAGTATTAAAAATGGTAATATGATATATGCACGTTTGTATCCTATCCGTTTTTTTTTGTGAAATATGCATGCGACTTTAGGCTATACAAGATTCAGAGCAGAATTCTGTTTTAATATGTCGCGTATAATGCAAGAAACGTCAAAAGAAATAATATATATACACACATACACACACACACACACACACACACACACACACACACACACACACACACACACACACACACACACACACCAGGGTGTCACGAATTTAAATGTCAATACTTCAGGAGCGTGTGAAGAATCGATAAATTAAGAAAAAAAGTCCTTTAGTGATTTGCTCGTTTTTGCTTACTTTTTGAGAACATTTGAAAAAAAGAAACAAAAAATATTTAAAAAACGTAAAACAACACTAAAATTATTAGATTTATCAAAAAGTACCATGAAATAAAAGTTGTAAAGCATGGAATCAAGAAAAGAGTGAATTGAAATCCTCCTGAAGTAAAATTAGAGAATTGTAAATAAATATGCAATACTTAAATAAATAAATTACTTAAATAAGTAATAAATAAGTGAAAAAATGAGAACTTTTTTCGTTTCAGTTTACTTATTTATTTACACGTATTTATTTATGTTGTCACTTTCTTAATGACAGCAGGAAAATGTAAACATATATTAAATATATATCAGGATACATTAAAAGATAGGCATATAAAATTATAAATAGCTTCGTCTTGAATTTTGTATCGCGAATTATAAAAATTATTATCGTCTAAAGCGGGCCTTGTATTATGCATAATGCACAAATGTCAATTTAATTTTCCCTTAAGTAATTATATTTTTGCGTGTGCTAAGATCATGTCCTACGTGATATTCAACTTCTCAGAAACTAATATCTGCGAAGCTACAGAGAGATTCTATGAATGCAACTTCGAGAGCGCGACCTATTATTATTAGCAGATGTATTAGACATTCGCGCGTGCACACATGCCTTCATTTCCTTCGAGTTGATACAAGCGACAAGCAATATAAACACCCACGTAACAGAATGCATTAACCTACTCAACCGGCGCATATATTACCAATCGATCCTTTAGTAAAAGGTACTCTGGAACTGTCGCTATTCCTTTCATCGGATGCTGCAGTCGCTACTCCTAAATGCTCCAGTATTCACAACGAGTTCTGATTATATTTTAGCTAATAATCAATATCGTCTGCATTTCCTCTACAAAAGCTTCAGTTATTGCAAATTTTGTCAATGGGAATCGTTTTGCGGCTGAAATTAGGTTTGTTGGATGAATCGACACGTGCTGGAAACAATTCGTGTCAGACAATTGAAACCTTCCCCTTCTCTCTCTCTCTTTTTCTCTCTCATTAGTTTATTTCTATTATCTGCGTGAAATTGTGCGGTTTCCATTAAATCGAGAAAGCCAAACACGGAGGCATTCGTTTCCCGCCTTGAAACCACAATAACGGAAAAGCTGATAGTCGAATCACGCTATCGACAAAGTTAATTCTCCAAAAGAAAGTTTAGTTTGCAAT